GAAATATCAATAAGGAAAATATATCTTATTTCCTAGATTCCTATTGTGTTTTCTAGAAAAAACGTAATTATTTACACAACTACGTGCTCGGTATAGTTTAATGATGGAATAAAATAACATTTAATTACCATCGGCGCAAAGTTATACGAATTCGAAATATCGAGAACACAATCGATTCTCAGCGGAGGAATAATCGATTTATCACCCATCCCTAGGGTGCGTTCGGAAACGTCACTCGGGTGTACCCGCTGCGTTGGAGTAAGAAAGACATAAGAATGAGATAAAAAGAGGAAGAGCACGCAAATGACGTTTTAGAACGCACCTCTAGAGTCAAGCTGAGCTTCATAAACACGCGACACGGCGACGGGGCGGTAGCGGCTCCCAGGATTTTCATCTTTTTACGTAGAATGGAGGAGATCGACAATATAATAATACATTCGTTGCGACAAATAGGCTGGTAAGTTGTGCTCGAAAGTTAATCTGAGCGACAATGTTCGCCGTTTTTCCCGGAGTGCTGCCTAGGTGGGCGGTGTTTGTGATTGTTCACTACGACTTCAGTATTGTACACGTGAGTTCATCGCCGACAATCGTCTCGTGATGAATTATTATCGCGTTCGATTTCCGTTGACGCGAAGCGATGAAATTTACGAAAATTTCTATGTGTAACTTAGAAAAGGCTTTAGAAAATGTTTTAGAAAATGCATGTATCGTTTATCGCATTTTGAAAAACTTTTCAAATTGAAACAAATACTGTTTGTTGAATTGATTATTGACTTGTGTTTCTTAGAAACTTGTGTTTCTAAAGCGCAAAGAAAGTTGTTCTGGATCCACTCAGGGCATCAAACATAAATTCTTTCAAGTCAACTCAATCTTACCTGTTAATCATGTAATTTTTCTCCTTAGTATGAAATCTATGTTAATAGGAACAGGCATTATACTCGTTTCTATGTCGATTAAATCTTAATTTAAGTTTAAACTCTATTCAGACAAAGACATACTCAGGTTAAGCTTTGGTTAATATTGGTAGAAACTTGCATAAATGTATAAGCCTTCTGACTAGATTACAACAATATTTAGAGGCACTTCTGTCATCAAGACTGAAGATGTTTTGGAATGCAATCTTGGTGTTATTTAGAATTTCACGATACATATTTACTCACTATAGAATGCAAACATTGTTTTCAGTGACATCGAAGAGAGTGTGACAAACTTAAGTGGCTTTAATACTGAATTAGTTGTGGAAGCGACAGTGAGATGCTTAGAAGCGATAAGGCCTGGTCTAGGATTGTCGACTGTGCTACCTGTGAACATGGCAGCACGTTTTCGACTAGGTGCTACTCTAGCGCAAACATGTACGGTCAGTATCTCTTCAGAACAAAGCATTTCATCACACTGTGGAAATCTGAAATATTATGATCATTTAGTTTCATCTATGATTCATATTAATCAATGAAAATTACAGGAACTAGGATACCGAGGTGACATCGGCTACCAAACATTCCTATACAACTCAGAAGCCGACTTGCGGAAGGTATTCATGTTCCTCATCGAAAAACTGCCAAAGGAAAGCGAGAAAACTGTAAACGAATCCATAAGTAAGACTGCTCTGTTGGAGAAATCAGTTGCATCCGCGATATCGCAAGGACTTTCGATACCGTGGTTGCCGCATTATTGTCACAAAAAAGGATTCAGGAATAGAGGAAGAGCTAGTACACCTTACATGTCTGTAAATATCGAAGTGCCGAATATGGAGATAGCAAATGTGGAGGATGGTAATGCACAATCGATATATCAATAATTGTATCAAATTATATTTCCACTTTCGTGCCAGCACAAGAAAAAAAAAGAAGAAACGTTACGTTAACACGTGAATGAAGTGTTTTCGTTGTTGCAGATTATAAAGACTACTATATGCGCTATTTACAACCAGTGCCTGATCAAATGCAAAATATTGCGTGCTTTTTACCTTCCATAATATCATATAACGCGAGATCGCTTAATGCCTCCTCTATGGATATTACGGAGCGCATAAATTGGCTCAACAATCAACAATCTGAGAAAACTGCTTATCCCAGTGCACATAACATTGTTAATGAGCTTAGCAAGTTTTCATCAAACGATAAGATGCAAAGCTTGACAGTAAGTAAAGTAAGATATACAATAGCCAACACTTTTGCGCGTATTTTATCAAATATTAATGTATATAGAAATTTATAATTTATTAGTTACTAAAATTAATTTTTCAATTTTCATACATTTCTCTTAATATTTGATGAAATATGCAAGAATGCCGGAAATTCTCAGAGTACCGGCTATGAATATTTTTCTCTAAATAAAATAAATGTTTCTTCATATTTTATTTGTTTATCGGGAAATATAAACATTCAATATGATTGTTATATTTCAGGATTCTCAGGTAAAACCAGAGTCTGCAACACATTCAGTGCTTCCACGACAAGAAACGTTGAAAAATGATGCAAAACAAGAGGTTGAGATAGAGAGCATGAAAGTGGAGTGCGAGAGTCTTAGAATAAATATAGATGAATTACAAAACGAAGTTAAGAAATTAACTACTAGATTATCACAGGCGACTGTAACCAGTCAGAATGAGGAAAAAGAATTGAGAATTAGCGAGGAACAAAAAAAGATCAAAGCAAGAACGTACGAACTGCTGCAGGACGGCCCGGAGAATACAAAGAAATTGGAGTCCATAATAGAGGCTAGCACAAACAAATTAATCAGTTTAGCGAATCAGTGGGAGAAGCACAGAGTACCTCTGATCATGAAGTACAGACAGGAGAGAGAGAAGCATTCTACAAAAGCTGTAAGTATCGCAAGAAAATGTATAGTCGGTTAATTAAAGGGTGTAACACTCCCTCAATGAGTTTCGTAATGTATTCTATATCCAAGGAGAATTTATTTCTTAGTGATTTTCAGAAGATATATTTTCCAATTGATCTATTGATGCATTACAAAACTCATCGAGGAAAGGTATTGCAACCTTTAGTCAGTCAAATTGTATGAATTTATGGAGCGATCAACATATTCACACATTTACCACATTTCGTAGAACGCGAGCCAAAAGAAACTGGACGAGATAAAACTGCTCAAAGAGAAAGAGAAGGAGCTCCAGGAGGAATGCCGAAATAAAGATCAGCAGTATTCGCAGCTGGTCGCTGAGGTTCAGAAGCTTCCGAGAGAAGTGAACAGATCTGCATATACTCAACGAATTTTAGAGATAATAAATAACGTCAGAAAACAACGCGATGAAATAAGCAAAGTCCTAGCCGATACTCGAGAGATCCAAAAGGAGATTAATACACTTACCGGCAGATTAGAGAGATCTTTCACCGTTGTCGACGAACTGATATTCAGAGACGCGAGAACGAACGAGGCGTCAAGGAAGGCGTACAAATTGTTGGCAACACTACACTCGGACTGCAGCGAACTCGTGAGTCTAGTCGAGGAAACGGGTGCGACGATACGAGAGATTAGAGATTTGGAGGAACAGGTAAAGTCCCGACGTAACGAAAGGATCGAGAAGACGGATTCGCAGGCATGTGCAAAATTCCTACGTAATGTTTTGCAATCTAACGTTTATTTCAGATCGATACCGAGTCCGCCAAGAACGTGGGCGCTAATCTAGAGAGGATAACAGCCGATTTGAAGCAGATGAAGCAAGAAACCGCGGCGTTGACGGCACAACTTCAAAGCAAAGCCTCGTGATCCTTATGTATTGTGTGGCGTCGTTTTGCGAATTTCAATGTTCAGGACCAGATTGGAATCTAGTACAGGTACAAAGTTAAATGCAATTCGAACGTAACACGTAACATGTAAATTACATTGACATTATTTCACTGTCTACAGGATATAAACGAATACAACATACGATCGAATGCATCGAAGACCAAACTTTTTTTAGCTACACAACCGGCATGGTAACATAACGCAATATCGCCCAGGAGGATATCTTCACGAGTCTACTCTAAGTTGATTGCTAAAGGAAAAAAGAAATTACAAAAATAAAAGAACAAAAACGTGCCTTGGCCTGGAGTCGGCAGGCATTACAGGCTTTCCACAGCCTCGGGCCAAGTGTATAATAAAGACATATTGTTAACATCCATCGCTCAAAAAGAACATTATTTGTTACGAAGCCTAATAATTTTTGTAGCGACGAGTTCGCCTTTCGTACTTCTCGAGACTCCGAGAAGATCCGATACGGCTATAAGGAAAATAAAATGTTGAAAGATCGACGCGTCGTTCGTGAGTGAAAAAAAATATAGAGTATGTAAGAAATATCGATAGAATGAATTTTCCAATATTTTATATGCATACTCCTCACGTATAGGCTATTTTTATAAAATAAGAGGTATAACACGTATATTGCAATATTAGAACACAATGAAGTAACAGTTCTGTTCGTGATTTTCTTCCTTTTTTTTTCATTTCAATCCCCTGTACAGGTATTCGCATTCTACTCGTCCTTTTATATTAGTTTTTTACTTTTTATTTTTAATATCCGGCGGTACATAAGTCTCCGTGGCGATCAATTTCTGCAGTTTCTTCGCGCTTCCATGCATGGCATGAACACGTTCGTCCTGCCTCCGTTCTTTCGCCTCAATCTTCTCTATTTTTAATTCAATTTCTTCCTCATTATCGAAGAACGTCAAAAGCTGTTCCCTCGTTTTCAAATCTTTCTTTATCCTTTCTATGTTAGCTATCCTCTTCTGCGTTTCTATTGCTTTCGTTTGTTCCTCCAATATCGAAGTTCTCACACGTTCCCAATCAAGATAAGACTAAAAGTTTAGAGTACACTTAATTAGTATAATTATTAGATTACCACTTACTAGATAATTAATTAGACTTAAGTATAACTTTTTCTCTCTCGATATTTCTTACCTGACATTGTTTAGAGACATCTTGGTCAGCTTTCTTTTTAACAGCAAGTCTGATCATATTTTCCATTGCTTCCACCAAACTTCCCTTATCATTCTGTTTTCCTTTTAAAACAGTTAATTGGTCTTGCACAAGTTTTAGTTGTTCAGAAGCCTGATCTTGAAGTCCACTGTTGTCTTTGGCTATCAATTCAAATACTTCCTCATAGACTATCTTATCCTGTATTGTCTCCAGCCATTCCTTTATTAATTGCAATACCTGATCATATTTTTTATATAGTATTAGACCCCTCAATTGGCAAGTTCTTCCCAGAGTGTTCGCCTGATGTCGCCCATGAAAACTCAATGTCTTGCCGACTAGATCTCTTGGATCAGTAAGATCAAAGTGATCATCGAAGAAAGGATTTCTTATGTAACGGACGCGCACTTTTATCTCTTCCTTGGAAGTATCCACTGGAACCTCAGGTTTTTTCCAGTTCTCGGGATTCTCCAAATACCTGTGGCACGCGTACACGCACAGAGCGTTCGTGATAGGATGGTCCGTTTCTTCCTGCAACATAACTAAAGTTGCTACTTTCGCGGCGGACGCGTAATTCTGCTTCTTTATGAAATCGTCCATGAGCAAGTTATAACCGAAGTAATCGGGGAAGATGCCGTAGTTCAGCCGGTCGTTGAGGATCTCGTGCAGCTCCTCGATACGATCGCACTGGCAGAAATATCGTATTACGGCGTGATGCGTTGATTCAAGTATATTGGTCGCCTCCGGCGACATACGGAGGTTGTGCAGGATCTTCATTACCTCTTCAACATAAATGTCGTTGTTAACACTGTTGACGAAGATGTCAACGTCAACGGCACTAATCTTGCCGACACTTGCAAACTTTTGTTCGAGCATGACGAACATCGTCGAGTGATCGATCTGTTGCAGCAACGGCGAATCTAACCTGCGACTCCATACCTCATTGCAGTGATACGCTTCTGATAGAAATGTTCTCTTCTGTGCTGTCATGTTTTTAAATCCACAGCAGACTCGGCAAAGTCTGTGACTTAACGCGAGTGTCTTCAACATTTTACTCGATATTGTTTTCTCACAATGTAATCATAACCTCTCTTTATTATGGTTCATAGACCACAGATGTTTTTTATGGTTAGACGACAGTTTCCCGAAAAATGGAGGGGATAATGTTGGTACCAAGGAAAATCTCTACACGATTCAATTGGAACAAAGTGTGTATTAATGGGCGCATTCAGTAGAAAAAGCGCTCAGTGAGCAATCAACGATTATTGGTTTTTGCTATTAGATCCCTAAATCTAGACCAATTACATTGACAAATTACTCAACTGTTGTGCAACTGTTGAGTCTGCTGAATGCAGCCAATGTGTACGTAAATCGGGTAGGGTTAGGATTATTTTTTAATTATGCTTATATTTTGATATTTTTTAATAACAAATAATAAAATCTAAATAATAAAAAAGATATTATCCACTTCACGTCGCAAATGTCAGTCTCTTTTCAAGCCGCTACGCTTATTAACTTTAATTGTCACTAGAAAACACTAGTTTACACAGCCTAGTAGCCCTCGAGCTGAGTACGGATGTGTAGAGTTGTGTCGACGATTACGACATTGGAATGCAACTTGTGTTGTCATGTGCATGAA